ACGTGGTTATGTAGATTGTCATCCACTTCAGCTGCTACTATTTAATACAACCAGTAGACAATACTTTGCCGTAAATTGATGAAAGATGTTAATTGAAAGTATGTCTTGAAAATATATAATAAATAACATTTGAAACACAAATTCAAAACAGTTCGATACACCCTCCTCGTAACGTTCAAATCAACGGAATCGTCAGTCGTCACAAAAATATAATAAAATATTTTAGTAATAAAAATAGTACAGTGATATAACATCGAAAATAAACTTAACTGTTTATAGGTTTTGACAGTTATCACCAACTCGTATATCTTAAGTTCGTTAAGGTTCCAGTAACGGTTTAAAATTTGCTATCTTTTGGTTTGGCTTGGTTATAGCAAAAATCTAGCCAATATTATATTTTCAGCTGAACTGCAACAAGTCATGAAAGCACTTAAACACAACATACTCAAATCGCCAAAAATAGTAGATAGTCACAAAAATTCAAGAGCACAACCAGATGTGTCCGTCTCGTTAGATGGCGTCTGTCACAAGTAATTTATCTATTGAACTAAATATCTTTATAATTGTTGCATAGCATTATAGTATAGCACATTAATATAGAATAAATAGTATATTATTCTTAGATACAGGAAGCACATTGTTGTTTTGATGCTTATTACCATACATATTTTAACCTTCTGGTACACCTGCTAGATTTGCGGCCCGTGTACACGTGCTGCGAACAACAATGGTGAAGTATCAACGCCAAACGATCAGTTATTCCACAGTGGATAAGAAAGTGTACAGGAAGCCGTAGCTCATTTTAACTTTGGCGCACTAACTTCGTAAGAAGAGTAACTGTTCTAATCGTGCGCCGGAAAAAGGTGAATATTTGGCAGAAACACTCTTATTGTCGGGCTCTGTTAACGAACAAGTGAATATATCCAATTGCTAAATACCGACAAAAAAATCCTCTAACACGTAGTTTTTCAATCAAATATTTCGTTGTTTTGATTTTACTTGAAACGTAGAAAACATTTTCAAATGTTTCCTTTCTTACTTTTTCGTTTTTATTAAAATGTGTCCTCGGATACCGTAAAGGGCGCTTAAGAGAATGGTGCAGGTGCATGTTCGTTGAAATCCTCTGGGATTTATACTTTCTCGCTACCGCTTACGCAGTAGAGTAAAAGTTGTGTAATGCTGAGGGGAAAAGGCAAATTTTTTGCCAGAAAACTCTTATTGCAAGGCCCTAGTAACGAAAATGGGGATAATCCAGTTGCTAAATGGGAGTGGGGGGTCCTCTAACACATGGTGTAGCCAGAATCCATGTTTTGTGGTTCCTTGGTACCGAGAAACGAATGACGGCAAAACGTCTGTCTGTCCGTCTGTGTACAACGCGAGCGTCTAAACCGTTCAGCTGATTTTCTCCAAAATTGATATTTCGCAATCTATCTGGCTGATGTCACGGTTTTAATTTTGAGAGGTACTTTAAGGCCACATTTTCCGGGATATTTTCCATACTTTCAAAAAAGAAATGAAAATGACTCCAACGTTTTTTTATTAAATTTCGTTGTTGGGTAGTGTGAAGGACGTTTAAGAGAATGGTGCAGGTTTCGTGTTCATTGAATTTATGTAAATTGCAAAAGTTGGCAATTTTTTAGAAGTCTTCCTACCACTAAAATTGTAAAGATAAGGATTTTTCCTTTATTAAATCTGTTCCTTAATGATATATATATATATATATATATATATAATAAAATATTAAAATAAGGTCATGTACAATTTTTTGAAAATTTGAGTAAAATTTTCACGTGATTTTGCGTGAAAATACGGCCGAGAAGGTACGCTCTGTTTTAATATCACTGGTTTTGAAAATTGCAAAAGTGCAATTTTCAGGGGCTGTCTTCCAACTATACAATTGAAGATGATTTTTTCATTAATAAAATCTGTTCTTTAATCTTAAAATAAGGTCATGTTGAAATTTTTCGAATTTTGCGTGATGTTTATTTCTCAAACAACTATCTTCTCTAAAACGGCACCAAATTTTTTCTTTGAATTTTCTACTTGTCTGTAATAAGGGACGGCAAAAATATGGTGCAAGTCCCATTTTCGGCTATCCGTTTTTTCGAAAATTGCAAAAAAAAAAAAGAAGGTATTTCAAAACTACAAAATTGGAGATAGCGATTTTCGCTTTAAACAATGTCTGTTGTAAAAAGTAGCTCTTTAAAAAATGTCATGTACAATTTTTTGAAAAAACAATAACGAGTTATTTGTGCCTGAAATTTTTGCAATTCTTAAAAAAAATCACTCCGGTTCATTAAAGTTGCTCTTCATGTGTAACAGTGTATGGTAAACTAGTGGTACTACAACAGTGCATGCTTTCTCGTGTTATTTATTACTGTTCCTCTATATTAGGCTACTACATGCAGAACACGATTGGACATAACGTACATAACGACGACTGATCACACACAAGTGTTTTCAACCAGCAAACATTCTCCTCACCGAGACTCGAACTCAGGTCCTTGGAGTAAACTCGCCGTCACCCGTACCACCACGCTACAGAAAAGACGTAAAGCACCAACTTGGGCCGACGCTTAAAAACGTAATTGTCTCAACCCAAAATTTTTCCAACACGCAATTTTATTTCCAGTAATAATATTATTTTTCCTACACGTTTTTGCAATTTTCGCGACCACGGAGAGTTTGCCAAAAATGGCGCCATTTTGATTTAAAACTTTGGTATGCTAAAATTACACTAGTATCTCTTGCGTTGTTAATGTTACAATACTGTTATTTTAAATACTGTTAATGCATTTGTGTGAACAAATTCGTTTAATGAAATCTTATGCAATTTCTTGAAGTTCTGTTTGTAAAAAAGCTCAAAATTGACCATTTTCAGAAAACTCAAACGATATTTTCGTAACAGTTTCTACTCTCTCGCCGCACACTTTTCATAAAAAAAGATTTTTTTAATGAACATATGGGGCTCTCATTTCATTTAAACTGATATGGAACAGCATTTAGACTATTATTAATAATTGAAATGTGAAGAAATATAGTTGATAATACAATTTCCTCAATATAAATATCACAGGAAAGAAAACTAAACCATTGTGTTAATCTGCAAATATTTTCTTCTACATTTCCATTGTTTATTTAATTTTGAGAAACATATTATTTACCGAGTGCAGTGTTGGTAGAAATTAAAACTAAAGTAATTTTATTTATATTGTTGCTATGGCTGTGAATAGTGCCAAATGTCATTGAGATAGGTAGCAGAGCTCTGAATACCCGCAGACCCGTCAACCCGCCCTACCGCCTGGTTCAGAAACGTGCGGGTCAAACCCACCCGCATTCATACGAGTACCCGTATCATTCAGGTCGCCCGCATCATACGGGCCGCCGTATCATACCGGTCGCCCATATAATACGGGTCGCGGGTATCTATTATCATGTTGCTTAATTTATTTAAATCATTATATATTACATTTTAAAGATTTTTTTAAAAAATTGAACGTAATATCGAAGAGAACGAAAAGGACAAAAAACACAAAGACAACAGGACGAAAAGGTTGAAATACGTAAAGGACGAATAGATAAAAAGAACGAAAATGACAAAGAACCGAAAGCACGAAATGACGAAAGGGACGAAAATACATTTTGCCATTGTTTTCTCAATTGTCAATTATGTCAGCCAATCGCCGACAAACACAAGATATTCACCACAAGAAACAGACGATTTCAAAATATAAAGAAAATATTCATATATTTACCCTTGTACTGTGAGTACCGCAGATTTAACCTGCTCAAGAGGATGCTCCTCCCACGTTTTCCGGTTGCTACCCAGTTCCTTAGCCTTGTGTACAGTTCATGTAACTGGCATTTCGAGATGGTCTTGTATTGTGACCTATTAGACTGTAGCAAAAAATTTAAAAGAAGAAAATCAATGGCTTAATGAAAAAAATTGGTTTGCAATGCAAGAACAACGTCGGCCCTAATAAAACCGTTTCTAAAATGGGTTTAGAGGCCCCACAGACACCCCATTTTTCGGCCTCGCTACTTTTTAGAAACTAGCGATACACACACAATAGGGCACCGACTCATCCGTGGCAAGCTTGAAGCTCCCGACCGGTATCCTGGCATGTGTGGTAGGGTAGTGCATGTTAGCGTACGTGTGTGTAAATAAGGGGTGAGGAAAGGACGAGGACAAGGAAGAGGAAGGAAACATCTCGCGCGGTCCGTGGTCCGTTTGTTTAGGTACTGCTCCGGTATTCTCGTGGTGTTGGTCGGAGAAACCACGGAAAACTACCGACCAAAGCAACGGGCCGCTAGCATTCTCCTCCAGACAGTGGCTGAATTCGATCTCGCTATCAAGCTAGTGTCGAAAATCCTGCTGTCGTCGGGACTCGAACCAACAACCTCCCGGTCAGAGGCACTGGAGTGACGATGCCCTGAGCCACCTCTCCCCGTGAAGAGGAAGGAAGATCGTGCGAAGTCCATGGGCCGTTTTAATAAGGTACGCATTGCCCTGGTCGGAGAAACCATAGAAATATATCTCTTGTGAACTCTTTCTCAACAGTTCTAATGGTACTTGTGTTTATCTCATCATCAGAGGCGCTTTATGCATTGACAAAATTGGCAGCTGCCTACGGTAGCAAATTTTGAGAAACCTGATGAACGTCCGTGCAATTCGAAACGTATAAAAGGTATTTTAGTAATAAAATAAACAAAAATTATAAAATTATGTAATGAATGTATTACAGAGAGAAAATAACAGAAATTAGAAATAATGGTTATTCTGTTAATTTGAAGGCGGTAAGTTAGTTGCCCTATTTTGATGATCCGATGATTTTTGTTTTTCTTTAGTCGACATCTCATCTAAAATCACATCGCATAACTAGCTCATTATTCTAAACTTTATAAATTACCGCAACATTTGAAATCTTTGTATACCGAGCAACTTGGCGATCTTGCAATGCTTTAGAGAAGACCAGTGGAAATGCCTCACGAGTCATGCGGCCGGTTTGAGCTTTGCCCCTAGTGCCGATGTTTACTGTGACGCCAACATCTGTCCGCTATCGTCTATCAGACAGAAGTTGCCTCGTGGGTGGTAACTCACCGAAGAATTAGAACATGACACACTCTTAGAGGATCTGTACTTTGGGGTAGTTACATGAAAACGTAGATATAGCGAAAATGTTTGATCTGTTTAAAGAAAGAAGTGTAAGTATATGTTATCAAACCGCGGATGAGACACTATTATTGACACGTGATGACAATAAAGAAGAAGTTGGAGTAGAGGAGGCAAGACAAGAAAAAGTACGTATTTTTATTTTTATTCTCAATGTCAAAATTTAACATTGATGAAACTAGAATATTACAGTTCTCATTTATGACGTTATATAATATTCTATTTTATATAAAATGTTTGTATTTTATTTTCATTTATTTTATAGAATCTCACACATCATTTCAGAGAAAGTGGGCTCACGGTGTTATGGGCTGCTATTTTCATTGCTGGAGAAATGGCAGGGAGTGGTGTATTAGCTTTGCCAAAAGCTGTTGTTGATGCTGGTAAATTTCAAAAGTTTTACAATACTTGCAAATTTTAGCATATTCTAGTTGCTTTGAATTTGAAACGTGTACTCATTCTCCCCAAGAATTTTTCATGTGGTTTAATTAAAAAATTAATTTTTCAACTGATTTTTATTCAATATATCTCATTTTCAACTTAGGATTTTTATAAGTGAGTAAATAAAATAATTGACATTCTATATTTTTAATGGAAATACGTATAAGAAAAAAAAAAAAAAAAAAAAAATGTAGATGAATGATTCTGCTTAGGGAAAATTAATCGCTTGCTGCACAAACTCTTCATATCCACTCAGTGATTTTTCAGAAAGGAAAAGTAAATTACACTGCATGGAAAGTTATATGCAATATACATACTGTGTAAACAGTCAGTAATATTTAGCTCTGAGATATAGAATATTAAACATGTTGAACATGATGGGTTTCTATTTCAGTCATATGTTTTGAAAGAGCAGAGATCTACCCAGGATTTTTCTTAGGGGAGTGAGGGGGGGGGGAGGGCTACAAGTAGTCTAGTTAACTTGAAGCTGTCTTATCAATAATTTTTCATTAAACTAAATGTATTTTTAATTGTGAACTCATAGTTAATATTCATAATGCAAAGAATTGATTTATTGAATGACTTTCTTTAGTAGAGAAAATCAGTAAAGACTAATCTATTTTTTAATATGTATCTTTTGCTTTGTGGGGGAGGTGGTTGCAGCCTCATGAGCTCCACCTTGGATATGCCACTGTGTACGAGAGTACATAATTTTTCAAAAAATGTTGCACATGAACATAATTCTGCCCCACATAGCCTTATTACTTTTCCTGAGTCTCAAAAGTAGGTCTGAAATTCCAGTGAGTATAAAAGGATTAAATTTCTGGATTGTGGAGAAAATAACGCTCAAACATTTTCCCCCAAACCTCCCTTCATCTTGGCACTAATAATTGCTACATCAGGAAGGATGCTCATTTGAGAAAAGAAAGAACTGATGTTGTTACATCAATTAATATGTTGAAGAATTAGACAATTCCTTCTTTTCTCCAATGTGTGTTCTTCCTGAAGCAGCAATTATTAGTACAATGTGATGGGTGCTCTGAAAGCAATCAAGCTTTATTTTCTCCATAATCCAGAAGTTTCACATGATATATTTTCTTGTAAAACGTATTTGCTCTTCTTTTGTGAAATATGTGCTCTACTATCACATGTTCAACATTATCATTTAAGATCAGGCTTTTTATTTTAACATTTAATAGTTTGCTGATACAACTTCCGGTGACCAAATTTTAAGAAGAAATTTTCTTTCAGTATTTTTCAGTAAATCCAATATATTATTTTAGAGAGTTCTGAATGAATTACTTTCCACCTTTTTTTCATTTCAAGATTCAGCACCAAGTAATTTGTATGTAACAGTTTGAATAAAAACACCTCGTTTTCAGGACTTGATGGCATTCTGTACTGAATTAGAACTTCACACAATTGTTACATTCACAATTCACAGGTGTGAATAATTTTTATACAAATTGATCCATCTATATACATAATATAATATGACCAACAATGCAAATTCTGTACAACATTAATATACAGTGTTTCTGTTCAAAGTTTTCAAATATTTTTTTGAATATTAATTCTCTTTAACCTCCTTTGTAGATTCCTTTGGGTATGTCTTGAGGTTTTGTCAATAGTTGAATGAAAGCTACTATTATTTTAGATGTATATGTTGTGGCACTTTATTGGGTCTTCATTGGGGTGGAAATTTTATATTTATTGTATTGAATAGATTTTGTTTTTTATTTTCCCTTCTCCCTCCCTCTAGTCACTAATATTGGAGCCCACTTTAGAATTATGAATCTGAATGTATATTGAATTGCTTTATTATCATTGAAGAGCAGGAGAAGAGAAGGGAAAAAACCCTGTGTAATAATTCCCTGATTAATAATACATTTACAGCCCTGATGAAGTCCCTGATAAATAAATGGTCAAAACATACGCATCTAAAATGTAGATGGGTTTCATTCAACTATTGATAAAATCTCACGACATAGCTAAATAATTTATTTTTGCTTTAATAAATAATTCAGATGAAAAAGAATTCTTGCACTTATTACTACACTTGCACTACAACAATTACCATTTTATAGGCAATTCACACAAACTTGCAGAATGATCAAAATGTGATTGATCATCATTTGAATCTATTCAGATTCACGCAAATTTTGCTTAGAACTAGTACGTCAAATCTGTTAAGACTATTTGAATAAGTTAGAAATATTTAATTAAGAAATTAATTTTTTTTTGATTTGCCATATAATGTTCTTCTCCAATCTTTTTGTTCTTTATTATCATTTTGTCAGAATGATATTGATGAAATGAATATTTCTTTACATGTTAAATGTGACTTGTATTTTTCATTTAATTCACTGAGCGATTTGCATTATGATATAATTGAGAATTGTGTTCTAATAAGTAAGGTGTAGTTAAAAAAGTTGAAAAGTGGGATACATTTACTTTCCAAATAACGAAAAAAAAAATTTATCTCCTCTGCTTTTGCCATGTATATTATTGCTCAATGTGAACTTCAATTTAACGCATACAAAATAATTTGTTAGTAGGAGCTTATTCTTTCATGACAAAAAAATTTTAATTGTTTAATGTTTAACATATTTTGATTATTTTTCATTACCGTAGGAATTCAAAGTTTCTGATCATTCAAATTTTTATTTTTCCTTAGGACTTTCTCTAGCTCCACTTATGGTGGAATTTCATCATGGCCTCAGCCTTTTACCTCTATAATGTTCTCTGAAAGGTGTTTCGTGAATCATTAGACACTCGCGTGCAGGCCTTCAGGTTCTGGGGTTAACATACTGTGTCAAACAAACATGAAAGACAAGGAGCAAAACATGAATGCAGAGAAAATGACTTGAACCTATAACCTTTCGTTCCAAGATTCTGTGTTTATGTGTACCAACTCTAATTACATAGGCCATCTGGACTAAGACTACTTATAGAACTACATTTATTCATTATTAAATTATTATATTGTTGAGGTACGGTTCCGTAGGTGTATTGAAGACAAATTACAGATATGCAATCCTCTTCAATTGCACAGGTCAACATTGATTTCTTCTTTTACTTTCTCACTTGACTACGTAGGCCCTGGTAACGAAAAGATGGATGAATGTTTTTCATGCACGTAAACTAGTGGCAGTAGCAGTTATGGCAGGGAGGTTCAAGGGGCACTGCCCTCCCAAATAATACACATCCATCCTTCGTTTCCTTCTGTGTAGTATTTGATGTTAAAGTAGTTGTTGCCATGTTTTCTCCGATTTCAGAATTCAAAAAGGCCGGCATTTCGGGTTCCGTGTTTCCTTTCATTGGCAACCGAAAAATACGTGCAGGAAAATTCATTAGATCGGAGCACAGTCTCAGGGTAATTTACATTACCGATAAAGTCTGAACCAATGGTACGATTTTCGATCTGTAAACGGCATTTGACGCCTTTTTATAATAATATTTACTCTACGAAGCCCCTTTTCACAATACCTAGTAAAAACTATAATTTGAAATTGGTGCTCGAACTTCGGAGAAAAAATTATTAAAAAATGTGGACATATATAGCGCGACTGCGACACGCTTCCTGAATCCAACACCGTGTCAATCATGCAAATCGGATGAATAGCGTCGTAAAGTGAAATTTGGGAAAACACCTCGCCCCCTCCCCCTTTCACCCGTTGCGTCATCCACTCGCTGAGGGCCCTCTCTCGGCACGGCGGCACGGGCAGCCCCGGCGGCGTGCGGCCAGTTCCGGCAGAGGCCAAATTTGCGAGACCAGGCAGTCGGTTGATGCTTTCGTCACTTTACATCTCAAAATATTTTCCCCCCACATATCAAACTAGTGATGCTGTAACAAAAGCAAATGGTCTCGTATCATCTGTAATGAAATTATAAAACTATATAATACACATATTTCCGTCATCCTTCGAATACCGTCATAAAATTGTTTGAGGTATTACTCAAAATATCGATTCCGATTTGGAACTGATGTTAAAAACAAAATTAAACTAATTGTGTAAATATCACCAATATTCCATCGTCTCACATCTTATTTTACATATATTTTACTTCTAAGATCTTTCGTTATCATTCCACTACTGGAAAGAATGAGCAGAAATTACGCACAAGCACTTTTATCCTACGACACTATTTTTGATCCCAAAACGGCGTTTGACTCCTTGATAGAATTCACTTTGTGATTCTCTTTTACCAAGTAAAATAGCTGAAGTTAATTTTAATTTTTTTTCGTACTTTCGGACAAATTTGAAAAAGTAAAAAAGCAAATGTCATTGTCGAATCAAATTATTCCTCCCGTGAATATGTTAGAGATTCGTAAACCAAAAGGATTTTGGTCGATGTTTTAATTTTGAATATTAAAAGTTTGAAATTAAATTTATATGATGTTTGCTTTTATAATCCTTGTGCTAGTATTAACAGCTCACTACAAAAAATTCACATACAATACATGTACATTATTTTACATCACTTTGCCTGATGACATTAAAAGTCCCAAGAAAAATCTTTTCTACTGCACAACTGTTTCTACACAATTAGAGACTATAACGAGCATCCAATAGGATAGTGATATTCATTTTAAAAGTGATATGTAATGTAACATTTACCATTTGGACTGAATAATTTTAAAGTACCTGTAACAATTATTGTACTTCAGCTTCTGAGTCAATGACCCCCATTTCGATCAGGTTTTCGTGTAGTTTCATTGTGCAAAGGCTGAGATGGACCATTATTTTACCTCTGGACATACATGTAACTTCAAATTAAGTCCCGCAAGTTTGCCCTTCTCCTCGTAGCACATCACACACAGTTTTTAACTGTTTTTGACGTAAATAAAAAAATAAATGTCTTTGCTACCGTCCTAGTCCGAATCTCGGAGAGGGCGCGATAATAATTCTGCAAGTTTTTTTTCGAACAATGGAAGTAT